GTATCGTAGAAGTATCTGAATAGTCGTATCTAACAAGTATCGTAGAAGTATCTGAATGGTCGTATCTAACAAGTATCGTAGTTAGTATCTGAATAGTCGTATCTGACTAGTATCGCAGCCAGTATCTGAATAGTCGTATCTAACAAGTATCGTAGAATTATCTGAATAGTCGTATCTAACAAGTATCGTAGAAGTATCTGAATGGTCGTATCTAACAAGTATCGTAGTTAGTATCTGAATAGTCGTATCTGACAAGTACTGTAGTCATTATCTGAATAGTCGTATCTAACAAGTATCGTAGAAGTATCTGAATAGTCGTTTCTAAGAAGTATCGTAGAAGTATCTGAATAGTTGTATCTAACTAGTATTGTATCCATTATCTGAATAGTCGTATCTGACAAGTATCGTAGAAGTATCTGAATAGTCGTATATCTAACAAGTATCGTAGAAGTATCTGAATAGTCGTATCGAACAAGTATCGTAGAAGTACCTGAATAGCCGTATCTAACTAGTATTGTAGTCATTATCTGAATAGCCGTATCTATCTAGTATTGTAGTCATTATCTGAATAGTCGTATCTAACTAGTATAGTAGAAATCTCTGTATAATGTATATTCCTTATTAAATGTATTAAATATCAATTCAATTATGACGTAGTACGTAGGTATGTACTATTAATACAAAATAGCTGATCATTTTATCCAACCAATATTATTTACGTTGTTCTGAATAAATTATAATTCAATATCAACATTCAATATCGGACAAAACATATTTAAAATATGCTCTCTCAACTCGAAACGCGAAGGGACTAGTTTTAAGCGTAGATACATGTATGTTCACTTACAATGAGAATACATGGTGAGATAAAACACCAACAAGCTGGCCAAAACCAGTTTGGTTTAGATTTCAACATGTGCGTCATGCCTTTCAGGTATTTCTTGACACCATATACATAACTAATGACGATACATTCCCACAATGCAACCCACAACAACACATATCCACTTGCTCCATAGCCGTCCATTAATGTGAAGAAATACATTCCCGCCTGAAAAATACGAATTAGCAAATGATGATGACATCATTCATATTCCACTCACATATAGCCGACAGTGTAGTATAGTTGTCGAAACTTATGTACGAGGCAGAATTTATTACGTCAAAAAAACTGTCAACCAACAAAAAAGCTGTTGTCTGATTAGTTCGACTGTTCGGTGTTAGGGCTTGTTAGCCAATCAGACACAATCTTGTATATAGATTTGCATTGACTCTATGATCGTGACACGAAAGTACATCGACACTCAAGGTTATAGTTATAATGCAATGCAAATCACCTTGCATTGTACTCCAATGGCAACAAACATAAACTATAACAAGTTGAATGTCTTACGTTTGTTATGCAGGGTAACGCCAAGAGGTAGTAAACACAACACACGATGAATAAACAGAGAGGTCGCTTTGATCTAAGGTACTTAGGATATTCGTCGGCAATGCAGGTGTAAAATCCCTCAACCACACAGAACTGCAAAAATGGACACAGAAAGTTGAGATAATAAACAGTAACGACAATATTAGTTATCGTATTGACAATACGTCTTGTAAATGTTATTGTCGTATGCTCACCTGACTGTCAAGTCCTAAAAGTAACAACATAATGAAGAACAATACCGCCCAGAATTGGGCACCAGGCATTTCAGCTATAGCTGTTGGTACTGTTATAAACGTCAGTCCAGGACCTATGAATGAATAAAATAAACTGTTGGCGGCGATTCAATTTGTGAGTTCACGTTCAACCAGATGTAGAAATGTAGAAAAATGGTATACTGGTTGTGAATATTACTCACGCCTCAGTCGTACATTAGTAGAAGTCACATATACAATTATTTTATCAGAAATATTGGCGTAGACCAATGCACATCATTTAGAAGAATTTATGTGGCCTAATCCGACGATAATATTGAACTAACCTGAGTCCACTACATCTTCTACTTCAACGCCTTGTGTCCACGCCATAAATCCCAATGTCGCAAAGACCATGAACCCTCCGTAAAAACTTGTCAGACAGTTGACTGTACACACAACAAGTGTATCTCTGGAATAATATAATATTACACTGCTTTATAAGAACTTGTCATGTATTAGTGCAACACACGGGAGCAGTGGGCGTTTGCGAATGTTTATCGCAGTGTCGTACATGTATATGTTATGCTATGCAAATTAAATGGTTTAGGAAAATATATTCCTATAAAACATGTCAAATACATGTTTGGCTATAAGAATTTGACAACTTTCACTTTCTCGATACATGTAGGCAAACATGAAATATAAATAGGAATGATAATTCAGAACTATACACGTTAAAGTCCTTCTTTTTGAAATGTTGTGGTAGACTGATTTAAGCATTTCGCCGTTTACAATGCCCATCAAAACCTTTAGCAATTAGATCCAGAGAGTCATCGCGTGAATGGGTGATTGCATGTGTGACTATTTGTTTTGTTTTAACTGCGAAAACTTTTCATAAGCACTGAATGCATATAAATGCAAACAACTAGTATTGCTGCGTTACAAATTATACCATCTTATACCATTTCTGTCTTTATATTGATTTACAACCAGTGCCACAGATTAGGAATATAACTTACATGACTATATTATTGTGGTATGGATTATAACTTCCCAATGATATCAGCGAGGATATACCAACACCGAGAGAGAAGAAAATCTGCGAGCCTGCATCGACCCAGACCTTGAGAAGTAAATGAAACCTTACATTAGTCATAAGGTGAACTACATGAGACACTAATATTATCTGTAAATTATCATATTATAATCATGATATCACACGATATTTCGTATAGCTGCTTTATTAACGTCACTCAACATACCATGTTTGTCACATGATCACCTCCGATTTATATCATGGTACGATTCAATTTGGTATGGGGAACAATAAAATTACATCGTAATTAACGAGACACTGCTTTGTCATAAAGTGGTATTACGTAGTATTCCCTTATAACAAAATAATTTATTTGTTTCACCAAACAAAACTAGCGAGGTAATGTCTCGTTATAACGAAGTATCTCCTTATAATAAGGTAATATATTGTTATAACGAAGCAATTTGTCATTAAAAATGTTTTATTTGATAGCTCTAATATGGCTCCGTCCGTTCCACTGATCACGTATGCAAATGATGAAACGATAACGATTCCGAGAAATACGACCCTATTCGTGTTGACATTTGAAAATAACGAAACTGTGAATATGTTATACGTGAATCTCCAATGTCGGAATGATTAAAACTCGTGGATTAATTTTTCTTTTGTGCTGCGTCCATTATTAAATTCACTACACGCGTTTAGAAGAACAGCGGTTGATGTGGCTAACACACCAGCTATGCTAGGATGTCTTACCTGGGCCTCTAATAATTTACTCCAGTCAGGAACAAGGTAGTAGTAAATTCCGTCTTCGGCCCCGGGTAAAGTACAAGCTCGGATCAACAGGATTGTTAACACAACATATGGAAATGTAGTAGTGAACCATACAATCTGCGAGAAAATGAATAATTTACATTAAAGGATTACGTCATGCAAAACGTACTTAATTGATACATTTGCTAGAATAGTGAAGTATATACAAGTATTTATATATTACCTCGACCATAAATAATCACACACATCATTGCAATAACAGTTCTGCCTGATAAACTGTGTTTGCTTACCTTGCCCGTAGTTTTGACTCCTTTTACAATACAAGCATACGTGAGTGCCCATGCTATAAACAATGCCAATGCCAGGTACCAGATAACAGACCCTATCTCGTGAATCCCATCAGATATCTGAAGAACGGCATTACTAAAAGAAGATGGAGAAATGGTAAAACAACATTGGCGCGAGAAGATGAATGTTTAACTAAATAAATTAGTTTGACCACATGGATCGGTTGTGAATAACTTCAACCAACATGGAAAGTTCTATCATGATAGATCTGGTTTTAGTAACCATGTATTATATGTTATCTAATGAATTTTCTCAGCATGACAACATCGTCACCGAAGGGGAGTAAGTAAAGCTGCGTTATTTACTTGGAATTGCAAGCTGAGATTATCGTCGGAAAAGAATTTTGAAACCAACACCTGCATCTCAAGTTAATCTCTATATGTACGGTTCATTGAAACACAAACACAATGAATAGACAAGAATATGAATACACAATGAATATCAAGGTAGCCATGAAACCTGGTAAACCTTGAGCGTCCACAACGTCGTGATTTACTTCTGATACTTTTCTAACTGTCAATGAACCATTATTGTTTGTTTGCTGTGCTTTATCACCTGTTTCCTGCATACATATAAACAAAAATTATATAAACTTAATCTCCTTAATTATAATAAAAACATGATTTTAAGAACTCACTTCCAAAATTGTTCAGACGGTGTTTCAGAATCAGTCATATTTATTGTAACATTATTGTATGGTCCGGTACAAAAAGCAGTTCCATTGTTTGTAGTATTATGGTAGCTATAGTCATAACAAAATATATCATTCCAGTTGGCGTCACATAAAGTCCATGGTAACGTAGGAAAGAATGAGAAGAACAGGTATATAAGGCTCCACGCAATAATAACGATGTAGTAAATATTTAGCATACATGCGATGGTGGCTGAAGCATATCCAACACCTAGAAAAAATAGATAATGGAGTTCGTGTCATGATATATATATCCAAGGAAACTTATTCTATAAATCGTTGGCCTTGTCTTTATGTTAGCATGTGAATGTGTGGAAATGTTTGTCTGACATTCGAGACCTTTTAATCATAAGCATGTTAACACACCGATTCATTTAGATCTACTTCAACTGATTGGTCTAGCTAAAGCCAATAAGCAAAAAGTCGGTCTATATAAAGTTCCCTGAAATGTTGTTGTGATTGTGATTTCCAATTCATGCTTAGAACTGTGTTTCATAACATTTACTCTGATGTATGTTAATTACGGGCATACACCGCAACTCACCAAACTACCGTTCCCTAGACTCGTTAATTTTCACTGCAGGTAGATGCGAATACTGTTTAGTCATAACACTAGTTCTGGTACACTCGATTTATGATTCAACCGATCGGATCTAGTATGTGGAAGCAGATAGACGACTTAAATGTGTGACATTGGGGTTGGTAAATACTGATTTTCACACAATCCAATGCGCCCTTGTAAAGGGAATCACACATGTCTTGGAGCAATGTGCGCTGACTCCATCGAAACCTTCCAAAACACATTTAAAGCTTGATAACGTCTCATATGTATTCATATGAAACCCATACCTCACGCATGCGTGGTGCAACGGCACCGCTTTTTAAGTGCATTCGAAAACCTTGATTGCATTTTATTGATGGGTTGAATAATATACATTATATGAACTATCCGCCCACAATAATTGTGTTCATTTATATGTTCGACGCAAAATGTAACTTTCGTTGAATAAAACGTGATGATATCCAATCCAACGATATCCAATCAAATTCTAGATCGTTCAAGTTCGTTCAACTGTTGATCAAAGTTCGAGAGTTGAGCAAACAAACAGTTATAATTTTTTAAAAAAAGTGATCGTGGTTTCTAAAATAAGGGCGTGGTTATTTTTGTAACTCGACGTTCGTAACTCGATATCTGTGACTCAAACAATTGAGCATCTCATTAATATTACGTTGTCATACCCAGTATCATGATGGCAAAATGCCACTAATTCCACTTCATGCTCGCAATGTCTCGT